GCGTGACAGGGGGCAGCGCCCCAACCCCCTGATCGACCCTGCTCCGTGCATGACAGGGTAAGGAGCCCCAACCCCCTGATGGGCCCTGCTCTCTGTGTGACAGGGGGCAGCGCCCCAACCCACGGATTGGCCCTGCTCTGTGCGTGACAGGGGGTGGCGCCGCAACCTCCCCATCGACCCTGCCTTGAGTGTGACAGGGGATGGTGCCCCAACCCCCCAATCGGCCCTACCCTGAGCGTGACTGGGGGTGCCATCGCAACCTCCTGATCCGCCATGCTCTGTGCATGACAGGGGGCGGTGCCCCAACTCCCCAATCGGCCCTGCTCTGAGCCCGACCAGGGGCTGCACCTAGGGATTGGGCCTGCCCTCTGCCACCTGGGAGCAGGCCTAAGCCAGCAGGGCGTTATCTCCCGAGGGGTCCCAGACTGCGAGAGGGCACAGGCCAGGCTGAGGGACCCCCTCCTTCCCCCCGAGTGCACACATTTTTGTGCACCGGGCCTCTAGTAATTGATATAACTTTCAAATGCATTTACAACAAATAACACCAGATATGCAATTGAAATATTCACATGGACACATCACATCTTCCATTCACCAATGAAGGCTTCACCATGGATAATGCTCCATAAGAACTCTTTCAGAAAGTGGCTTCCTTTCCAAGACCATAAAAACATAAACAACTCATCTGCTAATCACATGGCCTGGGTGGGTAATTCATCACCGCTCTCCAAAATCTTACACAACATTCACTTTAAAATAATAACCAACTGCATTATAAATACAAGTAATACTTTAAACAGTAAACTGACAAAACTATGTGAATTTGCAAACTGCTCACAAATAAAAATGCAAGTCTATATCAACGTTTTGTTAAATTTTTCCATAGAAATTTTCAAGTGGCACTTTTCTCACCAGGAGACAAAGAAATAATGGTGTTTTGCAAGAAGCAATAAGAGAGGGAGTGGAACTCTAAGGTAAGACAACATGAGCAGGTAGCCCACAACATCACATAATTGGTAGCTTCTTGCAGCCTGATTTAAAAGCTATGATACCTTGTAAATAATTATTTCCTGTTCATACAAAAATGAAGAGTCCTCAGAGCAATAAAAGTTAACAGGAAACTCAGAAGGCATATGGCTCAATTGGTATTAGCTATTTTCATATATGACAGTATGGATTATGACTTTCTTAAAATTCATGTTGACAAGAAAGTCATCAGAAAAAAAAGAGTTGGACCTATACTTTTCACCTTGAACTAAAATAAACTTCAGATGGATGAACAATCTAATAAAAGTACCAAAGAATGGGATAATTTTTTTAAAAAGTAGAAAATGCCTAAGTTCAGAAAACAAAACAGATAAATCTGACTGCATAAAGCTAAAACATTTCTGCAGAGCAAAAACTACTGCAAAGTCCAAAGCCAAAAACGCAAACTGGGAAAAATTCTTTCCAACTCATGTATGGAAGGCTAATTTTCATAAAATTGAAAGAACTCAGAAATCAATAAGAAAAAGATCAACAATACAATGGAACAATGAGCAAAGGATATAAACACAGTTCATACAGAAGAAAATATAATTGGCTTTAAGTATATTTTAAGTTCAGCCTTTAAATATAATGAGAGGAATGAAATTTAAATTTGACAGAAATAAAAGTTTGACAACCCTGTGCCATTGTGATTATGGAAAAAGTTAAATCATGTCTCATCGGTGAGAATGGAAATTGGTTCAACTTCGACAAGGCAATTGGGCAATTTCTATCAACATTTAAAATGCATGTATCCTTTGATCTGGTCATTCCAGTTCTGGGAATTTATACTAATAATCTTCCTGGAGCAAAATGTTGCATGTATTCACCTTTTTTGCAGCACATTTTTAATAGCAAAGGATTAGAAATAACCCAAGTTCCATCAGGGATGTTGCTTTAAAAAACTTGGTACATCCACATAATAGAATACTATACAAAAAATGGGTAGCTATTCATGGAATATGGAAAAATCTCAAGGATGCACAGTCAAAAGAAAAAGCTGGTACAAAACTATGCAGTATGCCTCACTCTCTATCAGAATATGAGAAAAAAAATACATGCTTGTATAGATCTGGAAGAATACAGCTAAAATTATTTCCATTGGCACCTTCAGGTTGGGAAATGGAGAGCTCCAAGACAGGGCAGGGAGGAAAACCTCTCCCTCATTACACCCTTAGAATTTGTAACATGTTAAAGCATGATGAACTTAAAACATAGATCAAATTTAAATTAAAAAAACCAAGAACAAAATCTATGACAGCCACCTGAAATATATACACACCCCACATGTAAACTAAATGTGTACATAATACACCTGCACATATTACACACATGCACACATAGGAAGACAAAAGGCAGTGTGATTGTAAAGCATTTTTTTAAATGGATGTGTACCTCCTGCTTTTGAATGGTGCTATTGGTTCCAAATCAAAAATCGTTAAAAGAAGGCTTAATTTTTAGAAATAAATTTGTTATTCAGAGTCAGGTCCAGTAAAGTTCAAGACTATAAGCAAGCAATTGAATCCAATAATAGTTTTGTTGGCCACTGGTTTTAACCAAAGTAATGAGGCCTGCTTTTCCACGTGACTTGTAGTATTTCCCAAGGCAGTGACAAAAGAGGAGCTCCAAGACATCCTCTGAAACAGCTGCCTCACTGGAATAAATAAATTACCTGTCAAATTGAAGGCTAACACTAACTTGGTTGCATTATATCTCATTATGATGAAGTCACACCCGGGAGAATGTTTCAGTGAGCCTAGCAGAATAAAGCAATACCACTCATCCCAGACATAATTATATACAGAATGAAATGAGGAAATAAAGGAGACCAGACACTACCCCATGATATTATGATAATACCAAAAATCACAGTGAAATGACTAAGCTTTAAGGTAACTTTTCTGGAGAATTACCCTCACTGGCATTAACTTAAAAATTACCAGAAAGAATAATATGGTGCTATGTTAAATAGTTAAGAAAAAATAAATGTTATCTGAAATTTACTTCAAAATAATAGTGAGGGAAAGATATACATTAATTGAAATTGGTAGTGAGTGCTTATTATTGAAGTGAGTAGATGAGTACTTTTCTCCTATGCTTGAATTTTTCCACAATAAGCACTAGAAAAAATGGGTATGGAAATATATAGCTTTGGAAAATAGCCATATCTTAGGGTTACATGAATGTTGATAAGCAGATTATTTTTTCCTCCAATGGTAGATTTTTTATAGAAAGAATTAATCTGTAAGGTTATATGATAGCTTATGGTAGGTGGCAATAACAACAAAACCACATTCACTTAGAAGTAAGTGGCTAGTGGTTAGGCAATGATTTTCTCTCTCTAAACTATTTATATTAATATATTTAAGCAAACAGAGCTTCAGCCATCATCCAGTTACCTTTAATGAAAGGGTTACTACATTCTAGGTTTGCCTTTAAATTCAACTAAATGGAAAATAATCTACACACACTTAAGTGTTAAATATTATGTGTGTTTTTTTTTTTTTTGTTTTTTTTTTAAATATATTTTATTGATTTTTTACAGTGACCGGAATCGAACCTGGGACCTTTCAGTCCGCAGGCCGATGCTCTATCCACTGAGCCAAACCGGTTTCGGCTATGTGTGTTTTTTTAACTTGACATTTTTGTGGTAAATACAGTAGGGCAGTAAAATGCATACAGACCACAGGTTTTATCCATGGAATTCAATGAGCTTCACATTGAAAAGTGAAGCTGCTGACAGATAGGAATGAACTTTCAGATTCTGGATTTATGCAGTCATCACACTCTAGCTTTCCCCTGCAGACCAGCCATATAAAGACGTGGTCAGGTGCCTGGAGCGCAGGACCACACTTTTGATATTGGTGTCACCGGCAACATGAAACCAATCGGATGAGGTTGGGGGAATGCCAGCTTTATGAATGTGCAAAACTGTTGCCCCCACACTAACTTTTCTGCAGTCAGTTTCATTCCACCTGTTCTTCCTACCTTAACAAAACAAGAAACAAAGAAAAAGTAACATGACAAATAGCAAAGACCCCTTGTGCTCTAGAAGCAGTTCTCTTCCAAAGTTATTTACAGTCTATAGCAGCGGTTCTCAACCTGTGGGTCGCGACCCCTTTGGGGGTTGAACGACCCTTTCACAGGGGTCGCCTAAGACCATCGGAAAACACATGTATAATTACATATTGTTTTTGTGATTAATCACTATGCTTTAATTATGCTCAATTTGTAACAATGAAATTGGGGGTCACCACAACATGAGGAACTGTATTAAAGGGTCGTGGCATTAGGAAGGTTGAGAACCACTGGTCTATAGGATGTAATGTGAGCAGCACCCACTCTGTAACCAGGCTCCCACGTTTGCTGGTTGTATACTTTGGGGCTTCTTTGCCTAAATTTCACCAACTTTAGAAGAGTCATGTCAATCACAGCTCCTCAAATATGTCAGGAGGCTAAAAGGAGAGACACCAGAGCTAACATTCTCTGTGAGCTCACCATGTCCAAAGACGCTTCTACACCCCTTAAAAGCAGAACTCACTTAATCCTTACAACCTCCCGATAAAGTCCACATTCTACCAGATGAGGACAGGCAGGAAGATATATTGTGCAACTTGTGCAAGGGCACCAATAGGGTCAGGATGTGAACTTGGGTGGTCAGAATTCAGAGTCTTCATCCTTGACCTTACCCTGCATAGGACTGAGACACAACATAAGCTCATAAAGTATCTGTTCCTTCATCTTTGCAGGCCTACATCGTCTTTGATAGATGGGAAACCCAAGCATATATTTTAAATAAAGCTTATCTATAATAGTAAAAGCAAAATATGCTAATTAGACCAGACATCCTTCTGGATGACCTTCTGGATGAAGCTGGGGCTGCGAAGGAAGCCGGGGTCCCAGGTGCCTGCAGGTGGCTGGCGGGAAGCCCAGGTTCCGGTGGGAAGCCCAGGTTCTGGGTGCCGGAGGGAAGCCAGTGCCAGCAGCCGGGGGAAGGAAAACTTACTCTTGCATGAATTTCGTGCATCAGGCCTCTATTTTTATTATAAAAGTAGCAAAAGTCATCCTTAAGTGTTTATTTTAAAAATATTATGAATATATAAATTTATATGTAACCGCAAGTGGAAATGTACAGTTTATGAAAAAGCTGGCATTTTTATTTGGAGCTACCTAGCTTAGAATATCAAGTATCAAATTTTCCAAAAGGATGTTCTACAAAAAGAACCTTTTAAACTAGATAAAATAACATCCTCTCTTTCCAACAGTGATAAAAGTTATGACATAACTTCTATCAAAAATAAGATATTTCAAATGACATGAGTAAACAAACAACAATCTTTAACATCGCCATTCAATCTTAATAAAAATATGGTAAAGGCAAATTCCTTCTTTTATGAATAAATGAGTTATCTTAGAGAAATGTGCCCTAATTCTATATTAATGAACAATGTTTAAAATGAATAGAATGGCCCTGGCCGGTGTTATCAGTGGTTAGAGCATTGGTCTGAACACCAAAGGGTCTCAGGTTCAATTCCCTGATCTTACTTGTGCCCTTGAACAAGTTTCATGATATCTCTTCCTGCCTGGGTTGCAGGTTTGCTCCCTCCCCGTTGGTCTTGGTGGTAGGGGCACAACCAACTCATGTGTCTCTTTCACATTGATGTTTCTCTCTCTCTCTCTCCTCCCTGCCTCCCTTCTCTCTGAAAAGCAACAGCAAAAATATCCTTGGCTGAGGATTAACAATAAAAGTAAATTAACAGAATGATTTTTAAAGTTTTTATTTATTGATTTGAGAGAGAAAGGGAGGGAAGAAGAGAGAGAGAAAAGAGGAAGATCGATTTGTTGTTCCACTTATTTAGATATTTATTGGTTGCTTCTTGTATGTGCCCTGATGGGAGATTGAACCTGTAACCTTGGCATATTGGTATGATATGCCAGGGCCTAACAGAATTATTTTATGTTATAGCAAAGCAACAAATAAAAAATATACTCAACATTTTAACTATATTATCAAAATATTAAATAAAAGGGAATATCTACACCATTAAACTTGAATTATCCACTAACAGCAAGATGCTCTGGCATATTTTTAAAAATACTAAAAAATTATTCAGTTGTGTGTAGGTGTTCAAATGCATGACATTCCAAGCAATGAGCTGAAATGAGATGACTCATCAATTATCACATGAACCAAACAGCTGCCTCTGTCATTAACCCCTAGGTCTCATGAGCTTTACTGCAGATCGTTACCAAATCTCTAATGTACTGAAATAAAATCCAAGTTGAAAAATATCAAATGATGCTTTTGGGCTTCCATACATATTGGAAATGTGGTTTAATCATAAAAAACATGCACAACCTGAAAATAAAAATGTAACCACTTATAAAGCCGCAATATTTTCCACAATTACCAGCTTTAAAGGAACCTGTTTCTTGAAATTTCATTTGCCACCAAATCATGATGATTTATAAAAATATCAACATATCAACTTATACAACTCTAAATAAAAATATAAATTCATGAAGGAGGGATTTTATTTTATTTTTAATTTTACTATTGTTTTTGGAGGAGGGATTTTTAAAGTAAAAAAAAAAAAACACCCACCCAAAATATTGAAATTAAACCTGTAAAATGCCATCTTTAATAATTGCAAAATTAATTACATCCCATTTAACTGTAATCCTTGGTAGCATAGTCTTTCATCATTTATTCCAGACATCTGATTTTTAAAAAGTCCATCTTCTAGTCCCCAAACAGATTTAATAAATGAATGAAAAGAAATGTAAAGCAAACTTCGCTGGTTGGGTATATTTCAGTAACATCTTTCTGTAGCTCAGCAGAGTCTGTGCATAGTGGCAGAAGGTGGCAATGCTGAGCTAAAAAACAAAGTTTTTGGAGCTGTAACTGAAATCTTAGGAAGTTCACAGCCCAGGGCCCCAGGTGGGTTATTACAGACTTTATTGCCGATACACAATGTAAAACTTCGATGAGCCTAAGCTTTAAACAAAATGTCTATAAAGTGACTAATGGTTATTCAGTAGGAAATCAAGGATATTTCATGAATTTCAACAACTACGTACTTTATAGCATGTCACCGTACCTGATCAGGAGTGCTTTTTTTTCAAAAGTAGTGAAATGTGCCTAACAAAACAATAAAATGCAAGCCTTTTAAAGGAATCAGTGAGACAGAAAGGTCCACGTAGCTTACCATTCATCAGGAGAGCAGCCATAATCCTCAGGCTCAGGGACATGGCTTCAGAAAGCAAGAAGAGGGACAGAAAGAGATGAGGAATAGTCACAGAAAGGCTGGCGGATCTTCAAAAAGTTAAGAAAATGAATTTTTAGCTGATTCTGAAAGAATGGCAGTTAGTATAGTCAGTAGAATGATCATTTATGGTAAAGAAGCAGGTTTACAAAGTTATTCTATAACTGGATAGCTACCTTGCCTCTTCAACATGAGATTTACTGATTTTATGCCCAGAATCCAGGATTCAGTAGGAGATACTTAAACTTAGCGGTTTAACTACAAAGCCAATGGAAAATCAATCACATACTGTATAATCGGAATCAAGTGTTTTAATGAAACAAACATGCTAATACTTAGGAACAGACAACCACACTGGTAAAATTTACCACATATATTTTCGAAGTAAATCTGACTTTCAGGAGGTGATGGTTCTTTACGCAGGTAAAATAAAATTAATTACATTTATGTAAATTAAATGGAACCACATTTTAAGATTAACTGATTTTTCAAAAATTCCACTTATATCATAATTCAGTTATTAAACCATTTATGCTCTCAAACAGGAAGCACGTTCATCAATACTTAATTTCATCCATTAGCTCAGGTGAGCACTAGGAACATGTGATGGAATAATAGCCTTTAATTTAACCAGTCAGTCATACATTCTGTCAAAGGTGGCCCATAACACATCACAGAGCAGATTTTCTCTTATGAATGCATGTATTTATAAAATTTCCTTTCTGTTGTTCATTTCCCCCCAGTTTTACTGAGATATAACTGACATATAACTGTGTAAGGTTAAGATGTACAATGTGTTTATTTGATACATTTATATACTGCAAAAACGATTACCACCATAGCCTCAGCTAACATCCCCATCATATGATTATCATCTCCTTTTTGTGGCAAAAACATTTAAGATTTACTCTCTTAGCAACTAGAGCAGATTTTATCTCCCATTTCTTTTGTTATATATGTTCATTCAATATTTTTCCTTTAAATCAGATATATTAGGTATAGGTAGACTTTTTAAAAATGCAGAGTTCAGTACCAATGTAAAATCATTGTTACTTTTGACAAATGTACAATTAACTTCACTGGGATCCTCTCACTCCCTACGTGACCGCCTCACTCTCTTACCCTTCACCAAACTGGCCATGATATAGGCCTGTCATTCCAGGGCACCTCTTCCACCTCCACAGGGCTGAGCTGCCTCCGTGCGGTACCCACTGCAACCATACGGAGGCAGTCCCTCCTACTCACTCGTCATTCTCTCCTACCAAAGGACTTTCTTGGAGCGTTAGAGTAAGAGCTAACCAATCCTGTCCCATGTGGGCAGGACTCCCAGAAATAGATACAGAGGCAGAGCAGCATTGAATAGACTGTCAAACTACAGCGGGAAGGCCGGGGAGGGTTGGGGGTGGGGGTAAGAGATCAACCGAAGGACTTGTATGCATGCATATAAGTATAACCAATGGACACAAGACACTGTGGGGTAGGGGAGGCCGGGGGAAGGTCAAGGGGGGGAAAAAGGAGACATATGTACTACTCTTTGTAATACTTTAAGCAATAAAACAAAATTTAAAAAAAAGAAAAAAAAAGGCAATGGCCTACTGCAGAGCTTAAGGCAATCACTTCTGATCAACCTCAATGCTTGGACTCCAGACTATGAGGCAGGGGCAGGGGCAGGTAGACTGTATGAGTGCTACCCAAGCAACAACGCTGTGCCAAGGTTCCGTCAAGTTGCACCGGTGTGGCACAGCAGCCCCTGATCTCACACACCTGTCCTGCTTCTCAAGTCAGGCAGCTTAAACACCACGGCAGGCACTCAAGGCTCAGGGTTCCCCTCCTCCCCCCGCCCCCTGCCCCGCCCTGGCAGATGCTGAGCACTATGCAGTGTGATGAGCAGCAGGCCACCCGCTCACTGCTATTGATCCTGTCTGCATGAGTTTCCTGTGATCACGGCTCCAGCAGTGCTGTTGTGTCTGCGCCGCCTGATTACTTCTTTGCCTCTGTTTGCACGTCTGGTCAGTGCTGTTACATCTGCCTGGTAAGTTCTTCACTTAATCAGACTCAGTCTTAGATCTCAACTCAAGTATCACTTTCTCAGGGAGCAGTCCCTGACCTCCCTGATTAGATCAATCCCCAATGGCAGACTCCCATAGACCTTTGTACTGTGTTCTATTGGTCTGTATGATTATTTAAACAACAGCCATTAACCCCCAATTAGACTATCAACTCTAGGGGGCTGATCCGTATAGTCACATTCTCTAACAGTGCCTCATCCCTAGAAGGAGATTAGCATTCACTGAAGAAGGCAAATAAAGAAATTCATGGTGTTTACCCAGCTTTCACCTATAGTCACGTGAACGGGAAGACAAATTTGTTGGTTTTAATCCAGATGGGGGCAAAATTTTTATTTTTCATTGTACAAATATTTTTATTTCATTGCCCATCATGAATCCAATTTGGGGCAAAGTTCACATGAAATGAGAAAAAATCAATCAAGAGTAAATTTTGAAGCATTGTTTGAAGTGTTAAATATTATCTTCTAACAAACCAATGGACTATGCAAAACTAGGTAAAGATTATATTATCAAGAGATTATATAAAGATTATATTATCTTGCCCTTGAGCCAGATAAAAGCAAGAGAACTGACCTTTGACTCTACCTGGGGTAAGCTGAGGTTTGACCTCACTGCTTAAAAATGCTGAAAAAGCACCAGCTCTGAAACTGTGGCCCCAAAGGCATTTGTTAGTATGCGCAAGGATGTTATCTTCCTTTATTCTGCCACATCCTGGAGGGATAAACACCATGCTTCCTTCGGTGGGAGCTGGAAGTGCACCCAGCTGACAGTTCCCCGTGTTCAACAAGTGTTACACATGCTGCGGGGCAAGTGGGGTCGTGGAAGCATGTTATTTCCCTGTCTGGACTCCCGTAACCCAAGGCATTCCCACCGAGAGGTGGCTGCCAGTAATTACTTTTTCCTGTGGCGTTTGGCGGGCTTAAGTAACGGTTTCTCCAAAGCCTTCAGGTATTAACAACTCTCTACAATGCTGACGTTCCTACTGTCTGTCCATCAGGCTGTTTGGAGGAGAGGATGTTAATAAAAACTCAGTCAGGGTTAAGGACCCTAAAAGCACATACACAACCAATACATGATTATTGGAAGCAGTTTAACAACTGGCCTCACTGAACAAAGCTTTAGGTCAGGGGTGGGCAAACTTTTTAACTCGAGGGCCACAATGGGTTCTTAAACTGGACCGGAGAGCCAGAACAAAAGCATGGATGGAGTGTTTGTGTGAACTAATATAAATTCAAAGTAAACATCATTACATAAAAGGGTACGGTCTTTTTTTTTTAGTTTTATTCATTTCAAACGGGCCGGATCCGGCCCGCGGGCCGTAGTTTGCCCACGGCTGCTTTAGGTATTCTTCAAAGCATGATACAACACCGGAAAAAGAAACATATTTCTGTTTATATAGTTAAAATTTGCAAGCAAAGAAACACCTTCTAGAAAAATTTCTAAATATGTTAGAATTTTATATTTGGGCAAAAAAAACCTTAAAGATCACCTGCTTTCTAATAACTCCAGAACCGAACTCAGATCTGTGGGGGAACAAAAGGGTTTAGAGCAGCGGTTCTTAACCTGTGGGTCTCGACCCCTTTAGGGGTCGAACGACCCTTTCGCAGGGATCGCCTAAGACCATCGGAAAACACACATATAATTACATATTGTTTTTGTGATTAATCACTATGCTTTAATTATGTTCAATTTGTAACAATGAAATTGGGGGTCACCACAACATGAGGAACTGCATTAAAGGGTCGAGGCATTAGGAAGGTTGAGAACCACTGGTTTAGAGATATTGTGCTTTTCCTGGGACGCCTTTGCTGTCTACAGTCCCCACCCACCTCTTCAGCTCACCCATTCTCCCCTCCCTTTGTATCTAAAGCTCCTGGATTTTGAGCTCTCTCAGGATGTATTTGAGAACTACTTTTCCAATCTTCTCAAGCCAGGCCTTAAACCTTAAGCAATAAACCTTTCCTTGCTCCAAACTCTGAAAAAAAATCACCTGACCTGCTCTCACCATCTTCATTTTAAAGGGTTTGGAATATTTGAAAGGAACTGACCAGGGTCACAGTGAATTAGTAACAAAGGTACAACTAGAACTCATGTCTTGTGAGTTATTTTGCTATTGAGAGGTTATTTTCCCCGAGAGGAAATTTGTTTCACTGAAAACTTAATCTAAATGAGGACAATTCTGAACTCTAAGACTACTTTAATATTTACCAGTCTCAACCCCACTCTGCCATTATACAGTTAATGACAACATCACCAGCAGACACAGGAAGAACACTGCTCTTTAGAACTACTGCCTGCAAGGACTTGTTCCAAGAATTAAAAAACAAACAAAAAACCAACCTAATAAAATGCAGAAGGAGAGAGTACCTAGAGACCATTCTAGCTTTCTGTTCTGAGAAATTCACCATCAATAATTACTAATTTGAAAAAGTTGCTTCTTCAATTGGAAATTGGACAAAGTAAAAAGGGATGCCAATTATCAAGCAGATAATTCTAATAATTGCATTTATGGATGAATGCAGAATTTGTGTAAAAACAAACATCACCATAAATCTATCAGCAAGAATCATACAACAAACTCTAGAATCTCAATAGGTCTTTCCTTCTCTTGCCAGGATTACTGTGGGTCTCACACACACAATATCAAAAAGGGTGGCTGCACCTCTCCTGCTTCCACGGCTGACCAAACAGTGAGGTCAGTAGTAAATTCTGGGTTGGGGTGAAGAGAGGCTTTTTGGTCTAAGAGAATTAGCAGATCTTCCGATAACGAGGAAAGATGCACAATGGCGTCTAAGCCCAGAAACATAAACATGCTTCTCAAATTAACAGCCTGTCTTTATGATGTGAAAAAACCATTCAATCAAATGTCTTTTAGCTGAACAGTTGGAAGCCTTTTCCAGTCACATTTCCTGCTGACCCAAAGAACAAAGACATCTGCTTCCATCTACTTCTCTTTTTGGACCCTGTGTATGTATGGGAGTAATGATACACGCTTAGAATTTTTTTTTACCCAATGGTTATCTATATAATAAAAGCCTAAGCGACCGTTATGGTTGAAGGACCAGAACGACCGGTCGCTATGATGCGCACTATCAGGGGGCAGACACTTAACGCAGGAGCTGCTCCCTGGTGGTCAGTGTGCTCTCACAGGGGGAGTGCCACTCAGCCAGAAGCTGGGCTCAGAGCTGGCGAGTGCAGGGGTGGTGGCGGGAGCCTCTCCTGCCTCCACAGCAGTGCTAAGGAGCAGCAAGCCAAGCGGTAAGGAGCCGCAAGCAGGTGGGCAGTAAGGAGCGAGAGGTCCCAGTCTGCGAGAGGGCTCAGGCCAGGGTGAGGGACACACCCCCCTCCAGTGCACAAATTTCATGCACCTGGCCTCTAGTTTACTTATAATTTTAACTAAGGCATTTTCAAAATTCAGTACACTATTTTTATACTAGCTTAGTGTCTGGAGACAGAGTGTGAGTGGGGAAGTGTGGGGCGCATGCCAGACAACCCAAAAGCAAGCTCCTTGCTTGTATGGTTAAGGGATTGAGATTACCAGTCTCACTTGCAGATAAAGGTTGGAAAATTTGGTAATAGACCAATTCTATCAACCAGGAGGGTGTTTCACTTTTTGATCATGTCTTTTTAGGGAATGTAAAAATTAATTCCTCACTTTACCCTATAAAGTATTTAAAAGAGAAGGTTTTTTTTTGCCACGGCTGGCGTGGCTCAGTTGGTTGGGTGTCGTTCCATGCACCCGAAAGGTCGCTGACTTGATTCCTGGTCAGAGCACGTGCCCAGGTTGTGGGCTTGATCCCTAGAAGGGGCATGTAGGAGTCAGCCATTAATGTTTTTTTCTCTCTTCCCCTCTCTCTAAAATTTAATTTAAAAAAGCCATATTTAAAAAAAAAAAGAAGGCTTTTGAACAGTTCAGGTAGGCAAACCTGGATATGAGAAAAAATGAGTGTTCAACAGCACATGCTAAGAGACATTAATAGCCTGATAAAAGTTTTTGACGATCCTCATTAATTCTTCCCTGGATTTAAGAGGTTCATGTTTCTACTTCCTTCCCATCACCAGAAATGTCAATTGTTCTGTGACTGCAAAGAGGAGAGATGATAAAAGAAAAAGGCAAATCAAAAGGATAAGTTATCAGAGAAACAAGATAATGTTTTAACTTGAAAAGTGCCCAAGGCCAGACTGCATGCTCCTACCACATGCCAGCTGTACTCTAACTTAATGACAACGCAGAGGGAGGGGTGTCTGTGCCAGGTAGAGACCTTGAGCAGCTCTAAACACTGAAATGTCACTGGGCAGCCCCCCCTCAGAGGTGGCTCCAAATGAAAGACAACGCCTAAATACAAAACACAACACATACATGTATGTGGAAAGTAAAACAGCTGCTTTCCAGATTAAAAAAATCTCCACTAAATGAACTCTCAAAATGTACCAAATTGCTAGCACTAGTTAAATTGTATTTCATATTCTATTTAAGAGAAAAAACTTACCCATAAGCAACTCCAGCTATGGTGCACTTCTTAAACTGCATTACATTGCACGTCAGAGTTCCAGTTTTGTCAGAAAAGATGTATTTTACCTAAAAAAAAAAAGTTTAAAATGTCTCACTAAAATTTCAGAAGTCGTTTTATGCCAGTCTCCTACAGAGGGGGGCGGGGGGGGGGGGGGGGAAACCCTTAACTTAAATTATTCTTTTTATCAATTTTGTTACATTGTAGGGGCACAATGGAATGCTAGTAATTGACTTCTTTCAGCATATAAAGGAATATGTTCAACTATATTTGTTTAGTATTTGAACAGTAAACCATTTCCTGTTTGACTATCAAGGTATTAGAGAAACTACGGTCATATAGAAATCTGCCTCAATATGATATGAATTTCCACCAGAAAGTGCATTTACTGCTACTTAACATTTATGGGGCACTAAAACATCTACCAGCATTTCTCCACATAATCGCAGAACAGGCAATAGCTTTTGCAATGAACTTCATACAATATCTAAACTGGCAAGAAAAAGGCTAATTCTGGTCTAAATGCTGTTTGAAAAATCAGAGTTAGCAACTGGCAAGGGCACAAAAAAAAGAAGAATCTTTTCTTAGCCAGTACAGAGTGGGGCAAAAGTGGATTTATAGTTGTTTATATGGAAAACAATATAATAATGAATAAATAATTATGTAAGAATAAACTATTTCGTGTACTCACAACTGTAAACTTACTTTTGCCCCACCTTGTTTAAATAAATGGATTACAAATATACACATGTGTGAATACTGTATGAATTGTAAATCTAAAATTCCTGTTTGACTACTATTCCTGTTGTTCAACTTACATAACTTCATTGATGAATTTAACTTTTTCTTCCCTTCTGGTCAAAAGCTATGAACAATTTTTAAACAGAGTTTATAACTCAAAAACTGCCAATACTTTGCTACTAGTCAGATTATATACTGAAGGACATCTCTCAGAACAATACCTCATTTGAGAGCAAAATATGTTTTAAATGTTTTTACAACTTCATTTACTAAAAATGAAAATTAATGGTTATGTACTAACATGTACTTATGCTGATTATTCAAGTAATAGAACATTAGGAGCTGTCAATTCATACGAAGTTGCCACAAATTACAGCGAATCTGACTTCCATGTGAACACATAAACGAGAAATTCCATTTACCTGGCCGAGTTCCTCATTCAGGTTAGATGTCCGAGCCATAGCAGCAGTGTCTGTGGGCTCATAGTGCATGTCGAGATCCTTTTTAAAAATAAAATAAACCCGTGAATACAACTACTCATAAGACACTGAGTAAAATTTTATTTTAACTGGCAAGCTATGTACATAATCACTCTCAGCTTTTGCCATCCCAGTTGACTTCCCTGAACAGTACTCAATCTAGAATATTATATTCCACAGTAAAGGCAGAGCAATGTGATGGGTAGAACATGTCTCTGGATAGCAGACTGACTGTAAAGATTAAACAAGATAATGTACGTAAAGTGCTTCCTTCGGTGTCTGACACAATGCAAATGCGGATGCTATCGGTTGTATCTTCTTGGCTAAGTTTCTTACACTGTATGTACTTGAAAGCAAATGAGTGCATTCTCAAAACCCAAAGAGAAATGTATAGTTTTCATACCAATTTGTACTTGCTTTGTGAATTATGAGGTTTGACTCCTAATCCCATAAAAATTAATATTTCCTAGAGCAGAATGTTTTAATGATCAGTCAGAACTGACTGATTTTCACATGTCAAATGAAAAGGGTAAACCTGACTTCTTCCATATCTGCATTTCAGACTGCTCAATGTCATTTCTGGAATAGGTTGTTGAGTTGTAGGTGCCACGCTTGAAGAGGGAAATGAAACAATGGGGCAATGTTTGGAGAGGAGTGACTGGAATGGAGATGAAGTTGGAAATCAAGTGAAATGAAGCACCGAAGGAGATGGAGAACATTTAATGGGGAGCGGGGATCTGATAACAGAATTGGCATGACAGTCAATTTCAAATGTTTTACAGGGAAACAAGATGAAACAATTTTCATGAAAGATCTACTGGGCAGAACCAGAATCAAAAGGAGGCAGTTACTAATCTTATTTCCACACAAAGAATAAGCTGCCTGGAAAGAGATGAGATCTCTCTGGTCAGGAAAGTTAAAAAGTCTCTGTGTATCAGAAAGGTGGTTGAAAGGGCTGCTGGGGTCACCCACCACTAAAATTATGTAATTATTTCAAGCAGATATTATTTTTGAAAATCTAAATAAAATAGCAAAGAAATTGACTAGTTATTTGATGTTCACAATGAGTCACTTTATTACTTCTGATGATAAGTGGAAAACTTTCAATAAGTTTTAAATGTATTTATACAAATTTTATTACAGAATTTTCCAATTATGCATCTCCTGCGTGAAATGAGCTATGCGTGCAGCTCATCTTAGATTTCTAAATTATATGGATCTTTTACCAATGAATTAAGAGACTGACAGCTGAGGTAGATCATTTACCATGGGAAGACAATGAGCAGTTACAAAAGCAGCATCAGTTATATTTTTAAAAATCCTAATACTGTTCAGGTGGAAAGACGTTCAAGTGATTTAAAAATAAACATCAAAAGATAATACCACAATTTCTCAAAATAAAAGAAAAATTAAACTTTCAGGCAGGCCAGGCCCGGATATTAATTTAATTTACATAAATTCATTAATTTTAACTTTGGTAAAAATAAAACAGAGGAAGAGTAACATATTTTATACACAAAACATTTAGGAAACAGATGTCCAGCACATTTTCCCAAGACTTAAAACAATATTTAAGAAAAAAAAGAGGAAGAATTCAAGTGCAGCTGAAATTGTTTACAATGTGGTGACATAAACTCTATACATGTGTAAAACATGGCAGGAACCCTGGTTGCTACAAGAAGTGCATACAGTATTATTTTTATGGTGCTCCATTGTTTACGAAGCTGTCTGCTATGTTGTGAAATTTCTTTGATTTACAGAACCACTGGGAGAGGCAGGTAAGCTCCATTTATCATTCCTGTGTGAGTGTCCAAGGAAATATGACTCAAAGAAGTCGAGTGGCTTGCCAAAGCTCACACAGCTAGTAAATTGTAGAACTAGAATATTTTAACTCCAACCCTCCCCCCTCACTCACTCCGCCACCCCCGCCCCCCCATTCTCCTTTTCTCCAAGACCACTATCTAATGCAAAATAGGTTTCTTGAACTAGAGACCTGCTTTCTCCAGATGTCTGGTCCGTAAACTTGGGTGATATTGTGATGAGAGATTTTGTTACTGATTTTCACCTGTCAAATGAATTTATTCTAATTGTATTAGGCTTAAAAATATTTTGAAATATTATCTTGTAGTCAACAAAAGGTAAGGTATAATTAAGATTTTTTTTTTCCCTCCAAAGAAATCAAAAGATCCTATCAGGAAAAAAATATGTTTTGAATGATAAGAAACCATAATAATTCATATTTACCCAATTGATGAAGTATGCCTGGGTAAATTTCACCACTTCTAATGTAACCAATAAGCTGATGGGAATGAGATTGTTGAAAAGGATGATGAAGGTCAGGAAATTCAGCCCAAAATTATTAGCGCCACCATCTGTTGGAGAAGGTGGAAAGAAAAACATTTATAGTTTTATATATGTTATTTTGACCAGAATTTTAAGCATAACAAAAGTTTTTCATAAAGTATAGCATATCTCGATAGCTTGGGAGGAATACTGAGTTGATAACATATCCTTATTCTCAAAAACATTCTTCAAGATGGATATGCTAATTAATCCCATTAAGGCCTGCATAATGACACTAAAAAGTGAAAGTACTGTCAAGCATTTCAAATTCTGTTCCAAACACAAAGTTTAGAGATCTCAGGGACAGGACTGAGGGCTTATAAATGAAAAATCTTAACTGGGCAGAACCACTTTTATATAAATTTTTGAAAAGCGTTTCCCATTTAAAGCATGCCTTAAAAGCTAACAAACAAAACAGCACCAGCAAAACTAACCCAGATAGCAAAAACAATGGTAGGGCAGGATCCTAGATAAATTCAGCTCTAGGTAAATTAAAGTCTCCATCTTCAATGATGAAAATAAAACAGTAATCCCAGATACACTGTAATGTACACAAAGAAACAAATTGATGGTAGTTGTAATGGTTTTAAAGTTGAAATAGTAAATCAATGATTGTAAAAAAAAAAACCCACTTGGAACAGCTGCAAAGCTAAATCAATATAATAAAAATATAATTGAAAAAAATCAATTTTGCTGTAAGATTTTCCTACAATGTCTTCACACTTTTGAAAATTAAGTATTTGTTGGTGAAGGACTCATCACAAGGCCCTGCTAATTTACTTTCCAGAAATACTTAGGGGAGATGCATTAATCCCATAATAGTGGGATAAAGGAAACTAACAGCATTTGCCCTAAGACAAGGTGACCAATCACACAGAACTCACTGCACTCAGGAGTTCAAGCAAAAGTACATTCAATTTAAACATGTTAAAAACATTTAAACTACTTTTGGTGCTTTAAACATACTCCGTCTGCTTTCTTTACCAGACAGCCATCTAACTACCTGTATTAAAATATTTTAAAACAAACCAATAACATTAATGAAAATAACATGAATAAAATCACATTTTATATTACTGTGAAGTGCTTGTTTTATTTTTAAGGATTCTGGAATTTTAGAGACGCTAACATTTTACTTTTACTGAAAATTGCATTGAAAAGTAAAGACTAAATGCCCAGTTACCGTGGCCACAATGTTCTCCATTCAGAAATAATAGGAAATCCCAAGAACAGCTGTGAAACAAATACCTGCACATGTTTTAATGAAAGAGAACGTGTCCAGCACTTTAATGCTTACAGTTGAGGTTGAGATACCAGTCCTTTCCAGAATGCCGTCGATTCCAAATGGCGGAGCCCACAGAACAGATAAGGGACATGGCAATTAAGATACAAAACAAAATCAAAATTTGCACATTTGTAATTCGTTCCACATTTGAGAGTTTAAGTGGTGGACTTGTTGAATTCTGTAAAAAGATACAAGATGAGTAATAAGAAAAGTGTACAATGATTTAGTAATAGGTATCTAGTATTTTGATGAGGATGAGTAAGTCCTCATTAAACTCAAAATCCAGACATGGGCAGGTGCCTGATCATTATACAGATAAAAATCACAGCTGTAATAAGCTGTCAAAGATTAACTGCCTCTTTTTCTAAGGGCCACTATGTAAGCCTTTTTCTACGATATCCTATGTAATAAAAGCCCAGCGACCGAATGGCAGAACAACCAGAACAACCGCTTGATCAGTTGCTATGATGTGCACTGACCACCAGGGGGCAGATGCTCAACACAGGAGCTGCCCCCTGGTGGTCAGTGAGCTCTCACAGTGGGAGTGCTGCTTGGCTGACCTGGATGAGTGGCGCTCCCACATGGGCTGATCCCCGCAGGCCACGCCCCCCCCCCCAAGTGCACAAATCCCGTGCACTGGGTCTCTAGTAAAAATAATAATAGGAGAAAGAAGTAACATTCCTTTTGTAAACACAGAGTTTGTACTGTGGCAGACAAGATGAACAATGGTTTACCTGGCTACTTAAGCCAACAGGGTAGACTAGAAGCATCTAGCTTAGCATCTCTGCTTAGGAAGAGAGGCAGAGAAGTTGACCTATGAACCCACAGCCAGAGACTTGGAAATTCCAAAGTCTGAAAGCAATAATTAAAGGATCACTGGTTTCCAGATTTTGGTGGCACCGAGAAACTGTTTTTACTGGACACAGCAACTATCTAAGCAGTCCTGGGTGTAGAGAATAATAGACAGGTTTCCTCAGATGTATTTAATGATAAAAAATGATTATGCTAGATTTGTGCCAACAAAGAAGGCATTCACAGGACAGAAAATTAAATGTCATAACCAATATGAAATGACTTACAGAATCTATAGAATAATTAGGGATGAATTCCTTAATAGCAGTTCTACTTGCCTGGTGATTCTAGTTTCATGCCTTTACAATGTACCAAGTTATCAAGCAGCCCTCAGAGCAGACTTTCATGTAGTATCTTAAAACTGAGCTTCCCACACCCATCTGCGTAAACACTGGACACTGATGATATTAAATGTATAAAAGGAGCATCCATAGGCATGTGTACTAGTAAACATTACAAACTAGAGGCCCCATGCATGAAGATTCGTGCAAGAATAGGCCTTCCTTCCCCTGGCTGCCGGCAACGGCTTCCCTCCGGCACCCAGGACCCAGGCTGCTTCACTCAGGCTGCTGCCAGGCACCCGGGACCCAGGCTGCTTTGCTCCAGCTGCTGCCAGGCATCTGAGACCGGGGCTGCTTCACTCTAGCCCAGGGGTGGGCAAACTTTTTGACTCGAGGGCCACAATGGGTTCTTAAACTGGACCGGAGGGCCGGAACAAAAGCATGGATGGAGTGTTTGTGTGAACTAATCTACCGGGGGCATGCTCTGAGCCGTGCTGCGGCTGCTCGGAGCACGCCCCCACCCCTGGTGTGTGTCTGCTGGGGCTGGGGGTGGCACACAGTCCCCTCCCGCCCATCTGCGCACGCAGCTCCTCCTGAGCAGTCATGATGCAGCCTTCTCCTGAGCCGGTCATAATGCCTGGCTAATTTGCATATTACTGCTTTATATATATAGATGGCTAGGATGAAGGCTGATAAAAAATGGCCTAACATAAAAATGCTACGAAACAACGGTCAACATTTGTTTCACATATTTTTCTTCTAATTTTACAAAAATAAGTCCTAAAATTTGATCACTGTATTCAAATAGAATTATAAAGCAAATACTTCAATGCCGAGCACTTATCATTACACAGACAACTTGCACGTAGCACTTCAACAGTTAGTAAATGCTGCTGATGGAACCAATACGTAAGATCGCTGAGAGTTCACGCGGTGGGTGGTCTCTGGGGAAACTCTGGCGTGGTGTGTGCAGTGAACCACAGCATTGCCCACTCACCCAAGCACGAGATTCTGGATGTAGAAAGTGGGGCTCAGGGACCTGTGACAGATGGTCTACTATGTGTGGGGCTCCCACACCAAAGGCTACAAACAGCACATTTCCCAAAGATTTAGGTCCAGGAGGTCTGCACAGATAAAAATCCCACCTGCATCAGCTTGGTGTCATGTCCAGTGTAGACGACTATGCCGTGAACCCACTGCGTATTTCTTAACTGGGCGCCTCGAAGAAGAATCTGATCTGCTCCCAGGGGCACAGTGCTGTGACAGAGGACGTTGGCATTAGAAATGGCATTTTCTAAAACGCTTAAGGAGTCCTACAGCCACTATAGAGTTCCCCCAAAAAAGGCTCTGTTATTTAAATAACCCTTCTCGTAGCTACTGTATTTTTAGAAAAGAAGCCATTTTTCTGCCCATAAGAATTTTCTTACATGAGAACAGCTGCAGGGGAGCATTTCCATGGCTTCTCCTTAAACATCGATCCCACCATATCCTACAATTTCACAATCTAAAATAGGAGGCAATGTTGTGGAATGCAGAGGCTCATTTTCAAACCTATTTAAGACCTTTCCTGATTTAGTTAAGTCCATTTAGGGTTCTGAGTTGTTTGGAAGTGTTTAAGTAAGGAGCTCTGTTCCCCCTCCCTCACCTTCCTTTAAATTAAAAATAGCTTTGTGCCAGGCAGAGGTGGCTCGGGGTTGAGCGTCATCGACCTATGAACTGGGAGGTCACTGGACAGTTCCATTCCCAGTCAAGGCACATGCCTGGGTTGCAGGCTCAATCCCCCATGTGGGGTGTGCACGAGGCAGACTATCAATGATTCTCTCTCATCATTGATGTTTCTACCTCTCTCTGCCTCTCCCTTCCTCTCTGAAATAAAAAAAATATATTTAAAAAATTAAAATAAATAAAAAATACACAAGGTAAGATAAATACACAGATCTCATCATTTTCACAAAAGGATTCCGGGTTCAAGTAATGTAGAAGTGCTCATTAATGTAGAAGAAAAAGGTTTCAAGTGCTCAGACTGAGAGCACAAGAAAGTATGTACCGGGGTTAGCAACACACTGTGACACAGTGAATTCTGTGTTGTTATGAAGACCGACTTTACATACCCATGTCCATCAAGCCTTATGTTTCCAACAAAATCGTAGAGATGTCTGTTTGGACTTTCACACTCAACTCTGCCAGAAATTCTCATCAAACTGTCAATGTCTCTTATATCTGCTGTTACTGGTAAGCCCTGTTTAGAAATGTTTCAATAAGTAAAGAGTATATCAAATACAATGCATGTGGGAGGGAAGGGGGAATTCTGAATCCGTCGAGGCCTATGACCTAAGAGATACCACTATTTTATAAGCAATTCTGCCCCTCAGACAACAAATACCCTTTGTGGATTCATAATTAAGGGATACCTTCCTCTCCACTTGAACACAGGTTTCTAGCACAAGAATCGGGCATCTATTGGAAAGTTCTAAAATATATTCAAGAAACTATAAACTAGTCTGAAAAGATATTTTAAAATAAGTTTTTAAGACACTGCTTCCAAAAATAAATACAGTATGAATATCTCTGCTGAATCTCAGAAATTGGCTGAAAAAATGAATAAAATCTATGTCCAAAGAGAATAGTTTGTTCTTTTTGTTCATTGAGAAGGAAAAACTCCAAAACAGTTCTTCCATCTGGCCCAGGAGAACCGTCTAGAACCGAACAGGCCTGCTTCCTGTGACCCTCTGGACTCAGATGCTCTGTGATGACCGATTTCCCCTCCCCCCACCCCGATCTCCCATGTGTCTTTCTCCCCATTCACCGAGAACCCGAGGGAACACAGTCATGAGCAGCTTAACAATGTTTTGATCAACGAGCGACGGCATATATGACTGTTTCTGGAAGATTATCATGGAGCTGAAAAATCCTATCGCCTACTGACATCGTAGCTGCTGTAATGTCACAGAGCAACACATTGCTCACATACAATTATGTATAGTACATAAGACTTGGTAATGATGATGTTACTGGTTTATGTACTTACTATACTATCTTTTTTATCACGATTTAGAGTCTACTCTTTCTACTTACAAAAAAAGCATGCTATAAAACCGGATGTGTGTTAAGCTGGCAGCAGCCTCAGACACTCAGTGTGCTTGGTATAATCTCGTGTTGTTTTGTGCAGTACCATGCTGTACAGGTTTGTAGTGTACGAGCAACGGCCTACATCACACAGCCTAGGTGTGTAGTAGGCTAAACCATCTAGGTCTGCGTAAGTGCACTCTATGAATGTCGCACAATGATGAAATCGCCGTAGGATGCATTTCTCAAAACCATCCCCGTCTTTCAAATGGTGTATGACTGTACATTTTTTAAGACCCTTTTACAACTTTAAAGGTAAAAACCCTACAGTTGCTTTCTATTAGAGATGGTGTGAGAAGTAAACATATTTAACTATTCCCTGAGATGAGTGAGACAATTGGAACAGCAATGAAAATGGTCTTTTCAATATAGTAAAGCTACATAATTTGGGTCAGGTGAACAGGCAAAAGGAATAAGCTAACACACATCCAAGCAATTAGAATTATTACTATTTTTATTATCATCAGAGTGTTGGCTATTACATAAAATATTAAAAATAGTATCTATACAAACAGGACCATACGTAATCAGGCAAGTAAACCCGAGTGTTCCATAATATATAATGATACCGATTTCTAAATCCTCTTCATAGGGGCTCAATGAGAAAACATACACAATTGGACAGAATTACTTCAACTCGGGATAGTAAGAAGTTACCGATTCCATGTAATAAAACAGCAACCATGATACAAACCTGTATTAGATCTTACCTGTCTAATTTTCAGGTTTGTTTCCCCATCTAAGTTGGATGTTTCAATGTAGCACATGGCCTGGGGCTCACTGTTGTTTAGAATTGAAAAGGAAAAAGATTCAGTGGGGGAAGAAAAGCATAACACTAACTTATTGACGGCTCAGACTCACTGAAGCCTTTCGTTCTAAGCAAAGCTTTAGCTGCCTAGTTTCTTGCTAGTTCCCACTCTTAGTGCAAAATGCTGTGAGGCAGAACCCATGCATGACAACTCATGGATCAGCTTTTCAGCCAGAAGGATTCCAAAGCAATTTCCTGGCAATGATCAGTACAGTTTTTCAAGATAAAGTGAATGCTTAAATCTGTCACATTATACTTAGAGTGTTCATCCATACAGATACAACACAGACTGTATCTGAAATGTAAAGCCGTTTTGTGTCCAGATTTAACTTTAGCTCAAAAAATATCAAGTGAGATGCATGCTCACAGCCACATGTAAACTGGTTCGGGAAAGTGGTTGATTAGAAAATTCCAGATTGCTGCTTCTATAGACTTGCATTTACTACCCTTTTAGGAAAGATGAATAGAATCACAGAAACTGTAATACTTAAAATTTAAAACTACTTTTAAAATCCGTATGAACAGATTTTGCAGTGAAAGTAGCTTTCTGCTCCTATTCTATTTCTTAAAGTTGTTTTAGAGACTTTTGTGACAATAAAAAACAACAACACCTAACTAAAACTAAAACCAGCCAATTTGGCCCGATTGCTCTTTGACCTGACCTAGAAGATCCTCCTGGGTGTCTTAGTGAAGTTTGGTGTTCACTGGCTGGTGGGAGGGCAGGTTCTCCAGCTTTTTTTTTTCACAAGCACCGTGTCCTGAACCATCTATATCCTGCCCCTTCACGTACTAACTTTCCTGGTGTAATAATTATAGACAGGTGAGTTTGCTGTCCAAATGTATAAGCTGATTCTCGAATATAAGGTAAAGCATTCTGAAGTTGATCAGTCTTATTAGCACTCGATTATATAAGCCCAATGAGCGAACATCACATAAGTAAATATAAAGGCAATCTCTAATGAGCATGTGTATTCAAAGTTGGGAAGAAATAAATTTATCAGTTACAATTACCTGGAATTTTCTAATCAACTTCTAATGGGTGTATGTGCAAAATAGACTATTCTGAGTTTCAAAAATGGGCATGTAGCTTAGTTTTGTGTCCTGAAGATTTGTGAAAATTATTAAACCACATGGTTATAAAATATTTTACAGATTGACTTTAAAATAACTTTGCATGTTCTCATGTTCTTCAATTTACTCTATGGGCTTTTTTATAATCCCATAAAAGCTGATACTCTTCCCCAACTGGAAAAATTTTCAATATTTATTTTTCATTCTATCAATTATTCAAAGTTGTTGTTTTTTTATTACTGTCACAATAATAATGTGGCTCTGGCAATTGCTCTCAATTTGTAATTTACTTATGTATATATTTGGAACAGAAATGGTTTATGAAATTATAAACCACATCTTCTGAAAATATATAAGCATGATGACAAACACATGCTAAATGAACAATGCTGATTCTAGATTTCGGCAGTAAAAAAGGCATTAAAAAGTTTTACTTTACAGATCCAACACTATTCTCACATTAAAATGAGAATAACATTCTAATTCTATTTATGTACTTTTTTTTTTTCAAAAAGCAACTTTTCTAGGACTTTACATGGCTAGGAGATTAGAAAGTTAAATGGCTGATTTCCACTTGAAATGGGGCAAATTAAATATGCATCCAATTCAGAACATATTAATCCCTTAAGACAGCTGTTACTGAAGCGGTTCTTAACAGTGCTACGAAAAGACAGCAAGATATATCAGAGAAGAAATCATGCTAGACAATAAATATCTCAGCAAAGTGTGATGACATCCAACACACAGACTACAGTCAGAGAAGCAAAGCAGGCTTTTTGATTAGCAAGTGGAAAAATGAAACAAGATGCATATCACAATCAAGACACCAGCAGACAGCTGAAATTTACCACAGTAACGTGCACTTTCTCACTAGTTACAAATGGAATAAAAATTGATCCCGCAGCATGCGGTACAGAATGTACAGCAGTGAGCTTTGTGCAGGGAGTCCTCCATAAACCCTATCCAAGTCCAAATAACAGCCATGTGTGCTGAAGGGATTCTCTAGAACTTACAGAAAGTTTCAGATGTAAGACAAACGTTTACGATCTTAAACATTTCTCAATAACTTTGTTTCATGTAAAGGTTAACATTTTCCAAAATAACATCCTGGAGAGGCATTGAATTAAGCCTTAGTATTTAGGCATGTTGTTAAAAAAAATGAATATATATGAAAGATGCACAGGAAATGAAAATCTAGCTTTATTGGCATGCCTCATGGGCTCTTATTGATAACAATAGGAGCTGAATCTGCCTACTTAAGGGATGAACATCAGCCGACATTGCTTTCAACAAGGCCTTTAAAACATCTGTGAAATGTCCATCACCAACAAGTAGAAAAAAGTCTGTGTTTTATAGGAGGAGACACAGAACTCAATCATCTTTGGGTGTAACTGTTCTCTGGTGTAGGGTGAGGATCCGCATGCACACATCCTGTAGGACTCAGCGCTCTAACCTTGAGGACAGGCTGATGAGATCTGCTGGGAGATGTTCCCCATTGGTCACTTTCACTATTTCCCCTACTGCCACCTACAGGTCCCAGTTTAAAATAATTAAAATGGAGAAAAAAAAATAACAGAGAAAACAAACAAACAAATGGACAAAGGAGACAGAAAGTTTGAAATTATTATAGAAAATAACACATGTTAATAAAATGTCTAATGCCAATTTTTCAAAACTTATTTTGATCAGGTCTAAAGGTACAAGAAAACATGGACTATTTAAGGATTATTTATTTGCTTTTAAGCTCAATTTTTAATTTTTAATGTGAAAATTTCTGATTATTAAACATTTAATCATAAATATATCATATACAATAAAAAGATATTTCTATACATAGAGCTACTTTATCTGAAAGATTTTCCTTTCTCTAATTCCCCACTCTCATGCCAATCTACTCTGTGTCCACTCCTAGCCTAGAAGAAAGGAAATGATGTGGAAATTACTTTTTAGGAAACTACTTTTGAAAAACAGAGTATACTATACTAGCTCTTCTATATATACACTAAAAAAAAAAACTTTAAAATTTTCTGATTCCAAACATTTTCAAAGTTATTACATAAATATCTTATCAACTTTAATGCAGAACTGCAAAGACATGGATTTTAGGATGTTAGAAGGCATAATTGCAGCCTTTTGAGTTATTTAATAATTAATAAAGTGTGGGTAATGCATTATTTTGGAGGGTAATCCTTTGAACCTGGGAGAAAAATCTCAAAAGTATGAAGGAGACATGCCCAGAACCTGTTTGGATTTAAATTAATAGTCTGAGCTATTTTACTCTATTTTATACTTTCTAAACTCATGCATCTATTTGTTATATGATAAATTTTCAGTTTCTTTATTTCAAAATGAAAATCAATGAAACTACTTTCAAACATGCTCATGCTTTAATTTCAAACTACCTCAAAGAAGATATATTACTAGTAATTAATAATTTAAAAATATTTAGAAATTAAATTATGAACTGTTGTTTATTGCTAGTGCAGGGGAAAATCACCATGTACTTATTTTGATAGCAGACAGTATGGCATAATGAAGATATTAGACTAGGAATTAAGTAGTGTAACAGTGATCTTGTCATTAGCTAAAGTTAAATGGCTAAAAACAAGATAAAGCCAAAATCCCTCTTTCTGTTAAATGATGACAAAACTTCACCTACTTTTTAACTCTAATGTAGGTTCAAAAGAGCCAAGTAATTAAAAAAACCCTTTTGAAAAAAAAACTGAAAAAAACAGGTGGTATTTTGTCACTTGGACAGAAATATCAGGTAATCTTTTTAAAAGTACTAATTTTTGGAGGAAGTTAATCACTGTGGATGCTATATTAAGATATAGGGAACTATTTTGATTTGCCAATATTGATAGCCACCAGTAAATATTTTTAATGTTTAGAAAATAAATCCTTTTGAAATGCTCTGAAGTTTAAGAAATTCAAGTACAGAGCATTATGGGAATTTCTGGGATTAGACAGGGGCAGATGAAAAATATTTTGACATCTTTTAACTTAGCGCTAAGTATAAAGCCAGGGCAGTATAGTCAGTTATCTTCATATTTTTGAGCATACATAATTTAAACATTGTAATTAATAGTTCAGCATATATTATTTTCTCTATGATAATGTCTCTATGATAAGTTTAATCAGGAAAACATCAATACATAAATTGATGAAATGTTTTACTATCACTTTGAACTTAATTATATAAACACGACATTCAGATGGTCAGTCATCTATTACATTTCTCAAACTTTTATTTGGCGTATCATTCTGTAGGTCAGACATGCTGAAAGCTTACTGAAATGCTATCAATTTAAACAGAAAGGACAATTGAGGAATATGAGAGTTTGATTAAGTAATTCATCTTCCTCCGTTAAAAAGATATGAAATTAAGGTCTGAGCGATTAAGTGTTTTGTTCAAAATCACCAAGCCAAGAAACTTGGCTTTCTGCCTCCTAAGCAGAGCTCTCTTTAATACCTGAGGCCCTACAGTACCTGAGACAAAGGCAATAGACTCCCTGTTAAACTCATTCCCACACTGCCATGTGTGGGCCATTCCCGCTACTCCAGTTTTAGAAACCTACCCTAATCAAACAATAAGTAAAGGAAACTATAAACAGAAAGGTTGATTTAAAAACCTCATAATTTCAAAACCTATAAAGAAATGGCACAGAGTTCCCAATTAAAAAATATGAAAATATACTTCAACTACTTATAGACTTACTTCTATAAATATCTTACTTGCTCATTTAAATTTCACTAATTTGTCATATATCCAATCACTTTCAATAATGACCTGATTAAACAGATTTTGAAAAAAGGACACTGTCCATATTTATATGTGTATTTTACAAATAAAACTGTCCAAGGAAATGATGATAAACAACCTCTAAAAGATTAAAAACATTATTTTCTTATTCTATGTTAGGACTAGTTTTATAGTTTTTAAACCTAAAACCATTTGAAAGTCACATTCTTTAAAGGGTAACACTGCCATATGTTCTGAATACTAATTCATGACTATCTTAAATATGAGTGAAACAAAAATCATCTAAATTCAGTAATGGAAAGAATTTTTAGAAAAGGATCAAAACACTGTATTTTTTCTTGGAAGAGTATGGCATTTCAAAAGATATGATGACAAAAAAAAAGAAATCATCCATTTTCTTGTACCAATGCACCATAAAGATCAAGTAACTTTGGAGAGATATACAAATGCATCATAAAGGAATTCGTCATGAACAAGGATTGCAAGATAGAATCAGTACAACCCAATCCATGTATTATATAAAATAAATGACAGGAAATCAGACAGGAGTTAGCAGTCCACATTAAAAGGATCTGGACATATCCAGAGGAAGAGACTCTTAGCCATAATTTCAAGTTCTGAATTATAAAGTAAGGTGCCTATCATTTATTTTATACAGCAAACATGAAAGAGTCACGTAAGTCCAATCAAATTTGTAATGCTTAATTCAGAATCATTAGAGAGGTTTAAAATTCTTCGTTTATTCCTTATTTCCTTGGAGAAATCACAAGGTCAATGCAGGGTAGAGAAACCATCCTCTACACTGTTTGAGCATCAGTAGGTATCTCTACCTTGATGAGAGAAGTACAGTGTCAGCAGGTATATACTCTTTGCCTTTTATTATAACTATATCTCCAACATTTACCTGAAAGAAAACTGGGAATTGGTTAATTTATCTGCATTGAAAGACAGATACAAACATACAACCCATTGTATTTAAACATAAAATACAGTAAAAACAGTTACTGGCAAACAAGAACCACTTATCTCCAAAATGGCAAAAAATTATCTACCAGTGAGGCCAAGGATAGGGAATTCCTTAAAAAAAGGAATGCCGTATCTTTATCAGGTATATACCATCTGAATACAATAAATCTATCCATTTTATCAATTTAACTGACATCTCAACTTCTCATATTCTGTCACTATGACATAAAAATAAAAAAGAGGAATTTACCAAATAAAATCTTTACCATGTTTAAGGAAATCTCAATACAACTAGAAAAGCTATCAGATCACGTATTACCGATATATTACATGTATATTATAAATATATATTACACATATAATCATTATTCCTAATGATGACCTTATGAAATAGTATTAGTTACAATTCCCAATTTAGGGAGGAAGAAAATGGGTCTTAGGTTCTAAGTTATTTGCCCAAAATCACAGTGAGATGAAGAGCTTAGACTGAAATCTACATCTGACTGCCTACAAAGCCTTATCGTGCACAACTAAATATAGTGAAACTATCACTGTATTTTAAATTTTAATCTCTTTCTCATTTTACTACTGTTAGCATTTTTGTGAGTACGGACTGAAGACAAATTAAAGATATACTACGTCAGACACTGTTAGAAGTAATTTAAGTGATAGGCTTGTCACAGAGCTTCTGGCAAACAATACAACTCCAACTCCATTACACTGATGACTACTCCCGTTAGAGCATGAAAGTTGCCCTCTCTTTGTAGCCAAATGAACCTAAAAATAAGTTTCAATTTTTAACCAAGAGAAGAAAATCTTTTTTATTGCTATAGCCCCCCCTTTTTAGTTAAAGCCTTTTTGTTCTTTCCCCTTCCTACTTTTCCTTGAACCCTGAAATAACACTTTACTACAGAAAAGGAGAGAATGGTATTCTCAGGGGCATAACAAATGAGAAGTTGTTGCAGGGACAGCCCACTCTGGCTACTTTATGTTCTGGGGGAGGAACAGGTCAGGAAAGTTGTGTGCTGGTTATTCAGGTAGGGAAGCTCTGGATGCTTTGATCAAAAGAGATGCATTATAGCCAGACCGGCATGGCTCAGTGGTTGAGCATAGAATAGATCTATGAACCAGGAGTTCGCAGTTCAATTCCTGGTCAGGACACTGGGTTGTGGGCTCAATCCCCAGTGTGGGGCGTGCAGAAGGCAGCCGATCAATGATTCTCTCTCATCATTGATGTTTCTATCTTATTCTTTCTCTCCCTTTCTCCCTAAAACCAATAAAAATATATTAAAAAAACACACACAAGAGATGTATTAGAGTTGATAGCAAATCATCTGAAATCAACAAATTGCCAGGGACCTTGAAATCCAAAACCCCTCCCTAAAAAAAAGGGAAAACTGGGAAAATAAAAATCAGCTAGTATAGGTGTAAAGTGGTCCCTAAAGTAATGTGTGGTGGTAATACACCGATAGCTCCAACTGAAAGCAAGTTAAAGAAATGTAAGTTCTCTGTGCCAAGGCACTTAGATAGAATGCTACCCAGGCTAGCACTTAATTGTTCTGTAATCGCTATCTGTGGGCTCACGTGCACTCTCCAATTGGACTACATTCTTCAAAAATCAGGATCACATTTATCTACACGACAGTGTTAAGAGTCTAACAGATTTAAGAAAATTTATAATTGACTGCACTGCTTTCCAACACTTGTATTCATTGCAAGACAACGAAAGGCTTGTGGGTATTACACTGAAGACGAAAAGAAAATATTAGCATCTTATATGGCATATTGTAGTTACCTCAGTGGCCTGGGAAAAACAAGGGCTCGCTGAGTGCTAAGGCAGCTCTCAGGAAAGCCGGGAATGGCCTTCCTCCTAAGGATGCCTAGGGTTTAGATCACTTTCTCGAACACAAGCAAGCGCCTCTTTTTCTTTTGGGGTTCTGAGCTCCTAATGTGGCATTCGCCCTCCCAGCCTGGTGTGTGCATAAGAGGAACAGACAGAGGAGAAGGTCAAGATGCCCAAAATTCTTTGACCACAAGTTCTCATTGGGGGAATATCATGACAAAGCAGTTTTAATCCCCAAAACACTGCAGTTACAAAAATATGTAGGGCTTTAGGCCAGAACCTTGAGCCTTTTCAAGTCACTGACATTAGTATCACAATGGAGGATTATGTAAAAGTGTAACCTTATCAAACTAAAATAGACTGTTTTAAAATCTGTCCTTGTCTAATTGTTGGCTTCAGCATATTTGTTTCTACTAGGGAATTTTGGAGATATAAATTCTGAATCCAAAGTAATACATTTTGTGGTGGAAACTTCATGCATTAAAGCAGCTTTATAGAGTGACTTGCACACATGCCTACAGCCGACCACTCGGTGCTTCTCTACAAAGCCAGAAGGATGAGTTTGACCCTAAGATTCCACCTGTAACTGTGAACAGTCTCAGCTGCAGACTGGTCTTTGAAGAACTGGTCTTTGTGGTAAAGACAATGAAGATGGCTGTTCACATTTCAAGAGTGGCGATGCAATGCCTTGAATAGGGCTTTCTAATTGCAATACTCAAAGAAAAATCAAGATACTGGCAACTTAACTTTGAGAAAAGGTTTCAGGCCAGTAACTGGGGAGATGACTGTTAATATTTGAGAGCTGAAGTCTGCCCATCTGTGAATGACCGGGATGTGTGCTGGACAAATTTGTAGGTCCTTTGAGAACCATTAAAAAGCAACCACAGTAACCACACCTTTAGAACGTCAGAGAGAGCAAGAACCCTGAATTAAAGCCCATTTGCACTAAGGTCTATTATATTACCTTGGCATGTGAATCTGACTCTCGGGTTTGGTTTATTGATTTTATTTTTAATTGCACAAAATATGACATAAGGTAAAGAAAAGACTTGCCCCACAATCTGGCGAACCCAACAAGCAAGCCTGCTTTCATGCCTATCCACTTAGTGTTCTATAAACCATTTTTACAAAGTCAGCCTCTTTGTGTACATATATCGCTCTGTTCTTTTCATCTATGATTATATTTTATGACACAGAAACCCTCACTTCTTGCTTGCTGCTGTGAGCTCACTACTTGGCACACTCAATAAATATCTGTTGAATGAATGGTATAAAATTTTTTATAGTATTTGAGATGATAGCTTTTACTTGTCATAAAATATACCAGAGTGCAGGATGTCATATACTTTGTTTATAAAGTTCCCTATTGTTGGGTATCCACATATTCTAATTTTTCACTATTATAAATAACGCTACAATAAACATTTTTACACATCTATAAGTTATCCCTTACTTTGTGATTATTTTCTTGGGATAAATTCTCAGAATCCTTTTTTTATGATTCTCAATATGAAGAGCCAAACTGCTCATCCACAATAACATGTGAATGAAATACTTCATAAAATTAAAAATTATGAAATACATGAGTTTGTTTTTATTTATTGGATAGCAAATGAGACTTCAATATTGTTTAAATTTGCATTTTTACACATATATAAGTTATCCCTTACTTTGTGATTATTTTCTTGGGATAAATTCTCAGAATCCTTTTTTTTATGATTCTCAATATGAAGAGCCAAACTGCTCATCCACAATAACATGTGAATGAAATACTTCATAAAATTAAAAATTATGAAATACATGAGTTTGTTTTTATTTATTGGATAGCAAATGAGACTTCAATATTGTTTAAATTTGCAACTTTTATTATTAGATTGAATATTACACTGAGTCAGGTTGTACTTCTTACTTATTGTCAACTTTTATTTCCTATTTATATAACAACTAGAGACCCAGAGCATGAAATTCATGCACTGGGCGGGGGCGGGGGGGCCTCAGGCCCAAGCCAGCAGTCAGACAACCCTCTCGCAATTCAGGATCCCTTGCTTCTTACCACCCTCCTGGTGGCTCCTTACTGCTTGGCTTGCTGCTCCTTAGCACTGCTGCGGAGGCGGGAGAGGCTCCCACCACTGCCTCTGCGCTCCCCAGCTGTGAGCCCGGCTTCTGGCTGAGTGGCTCTCCCCCTGTAGGAGCACACTGACCACCAGGGGGCAGCTCCTTCATTGAGCATCTGCCCCCTGGTGGTCAGTACGCATCACAGTGACTGGTCGTTCTGGTCATTCCACTGTAATGGTCACTTAGGCTTTTATTATATAGATTTCATTTTATTTTTATTAATCCTCACCCAAGGATATTTCCCCATTGATTTTGTTGTTGTTATTATTATTTTGTTAATCCTCACCCGAGGATATTTACTTCATTGATTTTTAGAGAGAGTGGCAGGGAGTGGGCGAGACACAGAGAGAGAAACATTGATTGCCACCCACACATGCCTCCCCACAGGGCTGGGGATCGAGGCTACAACCGAGATCCATGTCATGGACTGGAATTGATTACTTTTTGAAATTAAGATGAAAAACTTAGCTCTTTAGGAAGAGAACAATTTCTCTGGGATTATATTACATGAATACTTTGAAACAACTGCCATTTTTAGCTTTTCTAGGAATATGACAAATTTGTACATTTATGTGAATCTTAAATACCTAAAATCTTGATGTTTTCTTTACCAAGGTCATATATATATTAAGTTTATTTGTAAGTATCTCACATGCCATTGGGAATGAGAACTTTTTTCCCCACTATATTTTCAATCTTGTTATTGTCAACAAAAGAATGCTGTTAGTTTTTGAAAACTTATCGTGAATTCATCATTGAACCAACTTTTACTAATTCTAATTAATTAAGTATCTAATTCTAATTATTGAGTAAACATCAGTTCATGTTGGCTCGATGACTTCTGGCAACACCCTAAGTTCTGCCCCCGCTCTGCATCTCAAAGTGGGATGTCAAGTGCGGCCCAGATCTCCAAGGGAACTGGAAATGCTATCATTATGGGGAATTTTGGGCTGGTGATTTAATTTTTTCCTGTAAAAAATTGAGAAAGTAAGAGTTTCAATAATCCAGGTAGATTAGCACAACCTTGAAATGATTATTAGGAAAATAAGATATTTTAACAGGTTAATGTTAAGACTGAAGTAGTAGATGGTTATCTCCTACTTGACAACTGTTTCTTTTCTGAATAAGCACTCTAGGTGAGAAGGTAAGAAACTGATCTATCAATTTGTTAGGACATGCATTTATGTTAACTACACTATATGAAGGAAATATATTCATAATAAAATTCAATTTATCATACTTGATAATATCCTATCTGTCTTCTCTCTAAACTGTTAAGATCCACAAATGCCAGACAAAAGCATAAAAGGCACTCTTTTGAAACAGTATTTTGAACTTTTGGTGGCTTTTTTTTATATTGCTTTTCTGAAAAAGAGTGACTATTGCAGAAATAAGAAAAGCACAATCAAGGTATTCTCCTCTTTGTTACTTTTATGTTCGACCAAAGCGAGAGTGGTACGTTTCCAAATACCGAGCAAGGGAGAGGCCAATCCCTATTTTAGCCACAGATTTAATAACAAAAATGCAATTAATTCAGAGGGAATCCTGTTCTGGGCAGGGATATGAGGTAACTGAACATCACAAGGTAGAATCAGGGGCATGGCCTTTAGCCTGGGACACACTGACGTACCAATAAACCGGCTGTGGGTCACATCTCTGCTGCCCTGGCAATCTCAGAACCAAGTCCCCTTGGGAGAGTGGCCTCAACTCCAAAAGGCTCCTACCAAGTGCAAAGGCTATTCATCTATGGGTGACTAGAGGTTAAATGTTCTTCTAGAACTAAGGGAGAACTAACAACAATTGCTTACCTTTTAAAATTGAGGTCTGAATAGCATATGAACACTTGGACAACACTTGCTAAATTATGTCTTAACTCACTAATGACCATTTTAGAGGTCTTGTGAGTAAATTAATCATAAAAAAAATAAAAAGGTTTAAATATTACTTTTCAAGAAAATAGTCTTTCTAGCACATGGCAGATAGTAAATGAATGTGACTAACTGAAGACTCCATGTATGCTTACAACATCAATTATCAGACAGCTTTCACATCAGTGGGATTCTTGACATTTGTATATATTAGACATAAATTACATCTACTATTATGCATTTCTCCTAGAACAAAGTAAGAATCAATGCATACCTTTTCCCAGTGTACAATTTCCCAGGCACCATTTCTCAACACTGGAAAGAAAAAAAAAAGTCACATTTTAAAGAACAGTTTTACTACTAATCAAAACCTATTTCTGATGAAATGCCTGTTTTAAATAAATAGCTTCAAATAAATTAACCAGGAGCCATTTTGACAGGTTTAAAATTATGACAGCAAGGAAATGTAAAATAATATAAAGAATTAGAAACAACCAATGTACATTTTAGAGCCCACAATAACCATTACTAATAGAGGGGAATATCACTAGTGTTGCTGAGGGCTTTCTCCAGCATCTAGAGCAGTGGTTCTCAACCTTCTGGCCCTTTAAATATAGTTCCTCATGTTGTGACCCAACCATAAAATTATTTTCGTTGCTACCTCATAACTGTAATGTTGCTACTGTTATGAATCGTAATGTAAATATCTGATATGCAGGATGGTCTTAGGCGACCCCTGTAAAAGGGTCATTCGACCGCCAAAGGGGTCGCGACCCACAGGTTGAGAACCACTGCCATAGACAATTGAGCATCTGTCTGGTGGCCCAGTTGTAATTGGAGCCCTTAAGACCGTGGCTTGTTGACCCTTGAAATTCTACCTACTGACCTGGCAGGATGGGCTATTATGTTTGTCTCTTGGAGTTTGAGTAGCCTTGTCTGTAAGAACAGTGGAGTGACTCAGTGTGCAGGAGGAGCATGTCCGAGGGACACTGTTCCTTCCGATTACCTCTTACAGATTCCACGGGGCCCCAGTTTTTCTCCCAGTGGGATTGGTAGCTTTGATACTGGCCTACTCCTTACATAGTTTTGCTGCATATATCATGGCTACTCAGCATTGCGATTTGCCTTGGAAAGAAGACCCAGGTTGTACCAAATCAGCTACGAAGCTGCCCAAAGTCATTGTAATTTGCCCAGTTGGATCTTACCTGTATTTGTGGTGAGGGCCTAGGCTGCTCCATCCTCAGGCCGCACTGCCTTCCACTGGAAGCCACAGTTCATCTTCCTGGGACTGGCAGAAGGTTGCCGGAGCTGTTTCCTCTTTTGCAAGCCAGAATGTTCTAAATCACCTGGTGCATTTAAGGTTACTGTGGACTCATGATTCTACAAAATCCAGTGTGCATTGGAATCACCTGGTGGGGGGTTCGATCACAACCAGCTGAGTCCAGCCTCAGTTTCTGATTCCGGCGGTCTGGAATAGAGCCCAAGGATTTGCATTTCTAACAAGTCCTCATGTAATACTGATTTGCTGGCTTAAGGACTGAATTTTGAGGACCCCTGAATAGAGAAAAGTTTAGATGTATGTTCCAGATGCAATACAGCATGCAGAGTTGCATTCACAATACCTTGGAGGTAACGCAGTTTTGGTTCCAGACCACCCTGCTAAAGCAACTATCACAATAAAGCGAGTAGGAATCTTTTTGTGGGGCCTTCAATTTGTAATGTGGCAATACTTGCTAAGCAACTTAATTTATGTTTAACAATGCTGTATTATGATTTTTGACAGTTTTATTATGCTCTTAATGCCTGTTCACTGTTCATCTCTTTATTTTTAAACCTTTTTTGCTACTATAGGGAAAAAAAAAACTTTGAAAATTGAGAATAGTTTTACTACTAAAAATATGTTGGTTTCATGACCTTAGCATTAAAAATTCTGCCAAAATTTTTTTGATCTCCGCTATCACCAACACCAGCACCCCTATTTTAAGCAACCATCATCTCTCAACTGGAGGTCTGCATAAGCCACCACCACTAGTTTCCTGCATTTATTTTTAATCTCTTTCAAACTTAGTTTCTCTTATAATGACTATATATAATGATTTTACATATGAGTAATAATTATGTATTATGACGTATCCATATGTATCCATGTATGTGTATCTATATGTCCTTACACACAAACATACATAAAAAGATTATTCACCTCATGCTCAAAACTCTTCTTCAACTGGCTCCTGTTGGCTCTTACAATAAGTTCAAACATCAACAAGGCCTTAGATGAAGCAGGTCCTGCTTACTCTCCATCACCACCTCCTACCACTCCCTCTGCCCTCTCCCAAGCTCATGCTCTTTCCTGCTTAAAGTTCTTTGCACATGTTTCAATGACTGGAGCACTCTTTCTTTTCCTCCTCACCTAGATAACGTCTACGTATTTTCCAGATTTCAGCTTTAACATCACTTTATCGGGAAAATTTTTGGACACCCACTTCTTCGCCATTACCCCCAAGTATAAACGAACTCCCTGCACTTTTCCTTTAAAGCACTTACCAGTTTTACTATACATTTAGTTGAGAGAACATGAATATAAGGACCATCTCCTCCCCCAGACTGTAAGGTCTGTGACAACGGGAACCTTCTCTATTCTGCTCTCTGCGGTATCCCCAGTGTTACCAAGGTGCTCAGTAAATACTTGCTGGATGACAAGCTGGATCCACTGATGTTCTTATGTGTTCAGGACCACATCAAGCCATCGTAACAGTCACATGGATTTACTAAAGACACAACCCTGCTCCCTGCTAAATCTAAGATTAAAAACAACATTTACATGATGTTTTAAAAAACCCAGCTAAATAGGAAAATCCTTTGGCAGTTAAGCACAGGGTTAACATATACTCCAGAAATGCAATTCCTAAGTATTTATCCAAGAGAACTGAAAACATATGTTTGCACAAAAACTTGTATAGAAATGTTTAGTGTAGTGTTACTTATAAACCAAAAGGTAGAAACAACCCAACTAATGAACAAATAAACAAAATGTGGTATAGCTATACAATGGAATATTATTCAGCCATAAGAAGGAATAAAGTGTTGACACACACACCATGAATGAATTTTAAAGTTATACTAAGTGAAAGAAGTCAGACACCTATATGATTCCATCTATAAAAAATGTCCAGAATGCACAAATCCATAGAGACAGAATGCAGGTTAGTGGGTGTCAGGGACTCATGGAAGGGGAATGGGGATTGACTGCTTACATGTATGGGGTTCCTTTTTGTTGTTGATGAAAATATTCTGAAATTAGATAGTGGTGATGGGCACATAAGCTTGTGAGTACACTAAAAACAATGGTAGACTTGAAAATAATAAATCTTATGATATGTGATTACAATAAAAAGCAGCTACATAAAATGATGTCGATGAACTATTTAAACATTTGCTTAAAATAGACTTGTCAGTTTTATAAGTTACTGAAATAATTCCAGTGTGAACATTTGGAAATTGTTACGTAACCATCAGATGCACTAGCATGAGTGTCCTCTGATGTCAGCTCAGGGACACCCCTTCCAGCTCTGTAATCTAAACTGGCTCTCCCTGCAATACTGCCACTTGGCAGGTCACATCCAAAAATATCCCTGAACCACTCTACTGGGCTCCATGAACAGACAAGTGTCACAACAGGCTTTCCCAATGCAGCAGACCACGCTCCACTAAGAAGGGGAAAACCAGTGGCACTTTCATGGAACCACCGAAAACAATCCTCTAAACCTGCCTCACTTCCCCATCTTCCGGGGCTGCTCATTTTCTCTCAATCTTCCGTCATTTCTTTCTGCACATTCGAGCCTCTACCTCCTTCCCCTAACTGCAGACACTTGCTACTCAACATCTGGTGCAGGGACCTGCGGCATCCGTATCGCCTGGAGGCTTCCTGGACCTGAGGGCATATTTCTTCTCATTCCACCACCCATTTCTCTTGTTCTTGAAATACAAACCCCTGAACACAGAAATAAAGAGAGGAGAAGTGCATAGCTTGTTCAAACTTGAGGCTAATGCCATCTTAGGATGTAGAGAATACTACAGATCTGGCGAAGTTAAAAATCAGCTCACAACACATAACGGCTTTCTGTACAAATCCAGGCTTGAGTACTGGCCAAAGACAAAAGTCAATCACATAATTCACGGTTGTATTTACTCCGGAACTGGTGCCTAAACATCCAACTGTAGAACAATGAAAATAAAGTATCCCGTGTATTGTGCTGGTGAACGGAAATAGCAGCCTGGTTATTTTTAATCACTGACCTCCTCTGGCCCAGCTCAACCCGGTTAAGAGGAAGTGTTACAGGACAGCGAGAAGGTAGGAAGATTTCAGGGCAGGAGAAATAGGGAAACTGAGACAAGAAACTTAAACAAGGCCAAGTGGTTTGGGTAGTTTGCAGCTGGCTTGTAAATAACAAGCCATTATCTTCCCCGACCAAGGACACATGAGAACACATGTCTCTCCAAAGGCAGCAGAGAGGAGGGAGGAAGGGGAAGGAAGAGTGCAGTCTTATCTCATCCCACAGAAAAGCCAGCAGTCTCGGGGCTTGGCTGGTGCTTCTCACAATTCTGGGGATGCCACAGCAAAGTTAAGGGGTGGGGTGGGGGGGGAGCTTGAAAATTAATCTGTACCAAGATATTTGGCAGAGGAATTTTAAAATCTATAGACAGAAAAGTATACATAAGGCAGAGAACCCCCCTCACTCCACTCACTCTTTGGATTAGCCAAGAGAGCCCATCAGCGCATTATGCCAGATGATAGATTTGCTTGCCTTGCTTCTTTAATAAATTTGCATGTTTTAGTTTCTTAATAAATTAGCTTTATTGTTTGGGGTGGGAGGGAGAAATAGAATAGTGGGGACTAGCTATTAGTTATAAGAAATATTAATCATGTTCTGTGAACTGAGATTGTTTTGTTCTGATTAAAGAAGGCACATCTGACCAGGCTGGGAACTGTACACTCCGAGACTTGGGAGTTAACCTTGAAATGTGGCCCATTCCCCTTATCCGAGAACTGCCTATTGTCATGGAAAGGTGAACATCCTTGTTGCCTGGGAGATGTAACCACCCAGAGTGCCCACTCTTTGCAACCCCCAGCCCAAATTGCCTGTAATCTTTGTCCTTCTACCCAATATAAGCAGATGGCCTAAGTGGGGGGAGGGGTGGTGGTGGGGGAACAGATTTTTGTGGGTGACCTGCTGCTCTCCCATGTTGCCAACAATATTGGAAAACAAAACGCTCATATACAATCAACCTTGTCTCTGCTTAATTGCTCAAGTAGT